CATGCATGTTTTGTTAAATGAACCTCTGTCTTAACAAATGGGCTCTCATGTGGTGTCTCCTGACCTAAAAGAGTTGTATCTGCACTTCTAATTGGCATAACAGTTCAATTATTTGATCAAATGTCTGGTTGTTGCTTTCATAATCCTCCAACACACTAAACTGGATGATAACTTTGGATTTAAAAGAGCCTTCATGGTTGCATCAAAAAGATTAAAAAGGTGACTTTAAAATGGCCAAACCTTCAATGTCAGACGAAAAGAAATGAAAATATTTTTATGGCGTACTTTAAAGTTAGGACTAATCCATAAAATGTGAATATTTGAGGATGTGGGCTTAGGTCTGCTGACCTCCATCTTTCAGGATACAAGAATAAAACAGTCCTTCCTTTTCTTGGCTTTAGGACCTTATTGACAACCTACTAATGTTAATGGAAGGACTTCAGTGGGTTGTTTTGGGGTTTTTTTAAAAGGCAGATAAGCATTACAATAGAGCTCCGTCTCATTCGAGGATATTCTGATGAGTAGACTAACCCTCTAAACTCTTGCTCGGAGACTCCCCCAAATCAGAGAAAATATAATTCTGCTTCTCAGAAGAGAACAAGTCTGAGGGGCTCCAAGGGCACTGACCCTACAAGCCTTAATAAATGCACTGAACTGCAGGACTGAAAACCACCACAAAGCTAGGAAAAGGCCAACACGTGTGATAGAAAGACAGCAATTTTACTATAAAAGCAGAAGTCTATGAAACAGGCAAGTGGAAGAAATAGACAGCAAGTACAAATAACATGCAGTAAAATTTTGGTAGAAAAATAACTGAAAGAATGTAGCATCACCAAAGACAGAAGATAAGCAAGAAAATGGAAAAAGCAAGCTATTTAAATCTTTTTAATTAAGGAATTGGTTGGCTTAAATTCATCAACATTCAGATGAGCTAAAATGAAGTGTTTACATGATCTACACTGATAAAACTTAAATGAGTTGGTCTGCTAAGATTTTTCTTTTTTTCCTTTGAAATTACTGAGGTTTTAAAATGTTAGAAGCAAATATTGATGTCTTCTCTGTGAATGTTATTTATCCATACAGGGACTTTACTCCTCAGTGTGTAATGTAACTCCCAATTCCTTGAAAAAGATTAAGTTATCATTTCATGAGATATTACTGCCCTAATTTTCTTAATTGCTACATTAAATCTTTTCTGACCGATGGATATATCTGTTGAACTAGTTATAAAGGGTTTTTTCATACACCTACTGTCACCTTAAACAAAAAGGCCTGACAGATGATACTCATGTTGAAAACAAAGTTTGAAGTTTCTTAATTGGCTGAAAGTTGATACTTGATTTTTCTCCCATGAGACCACAAGAGCTCCTTATTAAAAACACAGTAAAAAGTAAGGATCACTTCTTTGTTTGGTACAGTGCAATACTGTGACAAATTAAAGAGCTGTTCAAGCAGATCACATTTAGGGTGGCTAACAGCCAAATCAAACAGTGAGGGCTGGTAACATGGATAGGAACAGTGCATTATCATGCCACTGGGGACATGGGATTCAGATTATAATTCTTGGATTCAGTTCTACATCCGGGAAGAACTAGTAGGCCAACAAATTTATTGTAATTATCATTTCCCTTATTGCATGGCTACACCACCTTTGTTTAGAGTATGTAAGATAGCAGAGACAAAGCAGTCCACTTCTCACAGGAAACAGATTAGTAAAAGGGAAAGGACAAAATTATTACAGTGTTGTATATACAATATTACAACTAGTCCAGCTTTTTCAATTTCAGGTGTTTGGTGAACCTTTTACATGTTATCCATGAAAATCAGCCTCGTAACAGCACTGCGAACTACCATTAAGTCAATGGAGTACTAGCAACTATCAAATCTACGATGTTCTGTAATACCTTACAGGTGGGGAACATGAAGCACACAGCATATACCCCCCATGGCAGGGTGGTTGGACTAGATGATCTTTACAGGTCCCTTCCAAACCAAACCATTCTATGATTCCATGATTTAAGTTAAAAAAAATTATATCTTGGTTTGTAGAACAGGTAACATGATTTAGGTGGCAAGACTGCCCTGGACAGCTGCACCTGCCAAGGTGTTAGGCAAGGCATTTAAACTTTTGCAACTGCATGTACTTTCCCACCTTTCATCTGGGTTGTTTATTTGGATAACAGGCTATAAAAGACAGGGCTGTCTTGCATACCTTGTGAACAAAGAGTAACTCGAGGGAGACTCATTATATTACTCTGATACTGCCATTAAAAAATGTTACTGCACCTGGCCACAATGTAAGAGAGGATGATTATGAAGAGACAGCTGTGGAAACCTCTGCTCTAGGAACAACAAAGCGTATTTCAAAAAAGAGCAGCCTCATCATGCTATCGTGTCTGCACATATAATGTAGTTTAACCACATCAGTATGTGGTACAAGTGCATACATGCATGTGGTACCACTGTGGGGAATGTGTATATGCAAATAAAAGCATATGTGAAATTGGAGAATGGATGACACTTTGGATTATCACTCAGGCTACCACTAGGAAGATGCCAATTACATCTGTGTCATACATTTTTCTCACATAAAATTCCATTCCTGCATAGCAGTAGCTAATTTAGTGCCTATCTTCATGGTAGCATAGTTAGTTATTTTTTCTGTTCACTGATTTGCATATTTCATTGTTGAATTTCATCCTCCATTTTATCATGCAGTGTTTTCTGCCATGAGATCTTCTGAACTTTTTGGCGGTCCATCTTTGTTTCAGCTGTTCAGTCTGATTCTTTACCATCAGCATATTCCATCTCAATCCTCACACCACCTTTTCAAAATTGTTTCTGAAGATGCTGAACACAGGTCTCAGTGTGGATCCCTGTGGGATGTCACCAGGGTTTCTCCATTCTAAAAAAAGGCCATTTATTCCTGTCTTTTAACTTCTAACTTTTAATTCGTGTCTCAAAGAATCTTCACTCTCATCCTATGAGGGACTAGTCTCTAAAAGGTATTTGTTGAAATCTGTCTCCAAAAGGTCTTTAAGCTAAAAACACACATATTGACCTGATCATCCTCATCCATATGTTTATTGTCTTCACGGAATAACTCAGAAGATTCATCATGCACGAATTTATTTTAAAAAAAAAAAGATTTCAACTCTTCCCCAATTGTCATTTCTCTTTATTATAATTTCTATTAATTTCCTTCATATGTAAATCAGACATATTGGTCTGTTCCTGCCAAATTCAGCCATGGAGTCCTTTTAAAATATTTGGTTATACTGCCATCTTCCATTCCTCTGATTGCAGGATTGCACATCACATAGTTCATCAGTCCTGTGTTTTAGTTTCCTCAAAGCTCTTGGGCATCTGCCATATGATCCCATCCTTTGTTTCTTTTTTTTTTTTCCCCTAAAACTTCTCCAAACCTTTCACAGTCAAAAATGAGCCCACAGATACATCATCTCTTCCAGACATAATTATGCAGTGCCTAATTTATAATAAACAGTCCTTCAATATAGATCATGAAAGTTTTCTGTATACTAAAGAGGAAAGAAAAATTATGAACAAATCAGGCCGTACTTTCTCACATTAGCTAAGTTTGGGGAAAAAAAACAGTTTGAAAAGCTGAAAAAAGTCTGAGAAGTCTGAAAAGCAGATCTACATAGGCAACATTTTTGTCATTTGTGTCATATGTTCACCTGAAGAAAAGCCTGTTGGCAGTGTGCCACATGCCTTCATTATGTGGCTGCCATCTTTATTCTTGGACTCCAAATGCTCCCCATGGTTTGTTTCCAGATAGGTACTTTCTTATGCGGTAGAGTGGCAGGTGACATTTGATTGTAAAAGCAAAACATTCCAGTATCATACTAAAGTTTGAAAAAGCAGCATAGATTTGTCTTACACACCTCTCTGGCTGGATGGCATAAGAATTAAGAAATGACAACCCACCTTTCCACCTCATCATACAGGCAAGATGATTTTACAGGTAAAGTAACCCCCTTTTTTTTTTTTCATCTTAAAGGAGGAGGGTTTGTGCGAAGGTTCATATACCTCTAAGAGTAAGAGCTCTTTTATGAGACAATATGATACTTGCCAGGGGTTTGCTATGAGATATCCTTATTATCTTTACCAAACCTCTCTTTTTTTTTTTTTTTTTTACAAAGAAAAAATCTGGAACCAATCTATTTTATTTCACAGCTGTGAATACTCTACTAAAGCGTACATGAAATAAACTATTTGCAGTAGTCTTTGTTGAGAAACCATGCTTTTTCTTAAGGTTAGACAGTCAGGGTTGACAGAAAATGAATATTCTTCTAAACACTTTACTGCAACTCAGAAGACAGACTCTTAGCCTTAATAATAGCAACAATGATAATAAACAATAGTGTTGTTAGTAATAGAATATATTTCTAAATGTCAGTACTGGTATTTTTAAACAAAAAAGGCTAGCAATGTACTCTAAATGTGTGCTATGAGGAACATTAGCATATAGCTGCCAGACAATCTCAATGAAGGATTTCATTGTTGAATTATGAAATCATTGTGTTTGTTATTATTGTACACATACACTCCAGATCTGATGCAGATCACATTCAGGAAGGATTCCAAGCAGACTCAGAGGTCATCATTAACCCTCTGCCAAGCAGAGTTTATAGATAATTATTAAATAAATCTATAGATTATACCTAGTTCTGGAACAGTTTCTATAGTGTTATTCTTCACTCATTGTGATGAAATCACGGTTAAGGTAGAACAGAAGACATTGTTTTCTATTTTTCTCTAGACCACACGTAGATACGTAGATAAGTAAGGACTCACCCACCTACCATTTTCAAATGAGCACGAAATGTCATTTACATAGTCTTCCTTTCAGACACATCTGTTCTGCACCTGTTTTCCTAATGTTTGTTTCTGTAGATCATCTCCCGGTGTTCAAAATACTTGCCCTCTCACAGAAACTTTCACTTGGACACATGAAAATGTATGAACAACCCTCCTACCTTTAGCAGGTAAGCTTGGCAGTCACTGACATAATCATACTCCAATCCGTCAAAGGTATAATAATGTCGATCTCCATAAATAGTGCATACAGCAGGACAGGGGTAACTAGTGCAATTGAATATCCCTCTCCGACAAACACTGTAAGGAAAATTAACAATCAGTGTCTTCTCATAGCAGGGTCATTTTCTTTTTATTTTCAAGAAAAATCTTTCTTGGGTTCTTTATTTCAAGTTATACAGAAATTCGTGAAAGGAAGAAAATTCTCAGACCTTGAAACACAGAGCTATTCTGTGGATTGCTTCTGAAGTTATTGGTGATGCCACAGCAGAAAAGTGTTGAGCATTTTGCCATCAGCACATATGTATAATAAAAATGCTTAAGAAATGAATGCAAAATCTTAAAATTTTTATGGCTTATGCAAATATTTCTATCATTGCCTCCAGTATAGATAAGACACCATGCCACAACACGCTTATTCATAAAACATCAATATTATATTTTTTCTCAAGAAATTTTGATAAAAGTCTGCACATATTCAATGCAAAAGACCTCCAGTTGCTCCCTGTAAGATTTCAGGGTATCAGACAAGTACAGAATGAGTCTAAGAAATAAATTCTGATATTCTGTGGGACTACTCTTCCTCTCAGCTACATTCAGTGACTTACATGAATTTGTATGAAGGTAGTACTGACAGCCTCTAGTTTTGCTTGTGTAAGTGTATAAGCTCAGTTGATTTGCCAATGAAGTTTTTAACTGATTAAAAGCTGCCATGCCAAACTTTTTTATTATTATGAAATATATATTTAACTGAAGATAGATGTTTTGGCTAGCAAATTATAATGGAAGAAAAACTGTTTTGCATCAATACGAGTTAGGTAAGGTTCCTTAAAAAAGGTGCTGGGCGCTAACTCGTTTTCCAATTCTAATGCCTTTTTATTTCCTTTTTTTTTTATTGCCCATCTTCTTCCTATACAGTCACTCATGCTGACTGGTAACTCACACTGCAAACAGCCCACTTCCCAAAGGAGCAGACTATTTACTGTCATACTTTTAATTTCTCTTTTTTCTCCTTGGTTGTCTTTCATGATATTCTATTCTCCAAAACGCCAAATGTGTTTTCTTTCAAAGATTAACTGCTATGCATGGAATCAAGCATTTGTTCTTAATTGCTTTTTAACTTAGATATCTCCTGCTTCCTTTTCAGACCTGAAGAAGCACTCACCCAAAAGTCTGCCTACTCTTCCAAGTCTATGAGTGAGCCTAGTAAAAGATATATCCCGTAACTGTCTATAAACAAGTATATACATTTTTGTTTTTCAATGTACTCAACACGTTTTCTGTATCAGTTTCATTTTGTGGCTAGACCCAGATGATTTGGAAGTATGCAAAATGCATGTCACTCACCAGGTGTAACATGGTGTAGCTATCACTTCTCCTGACAGAAATTCCCTGTCTTTCCAGGTGCATGGACAACTGTCAGGAATATAACATTTCCCTCTATGCTCAGCCATCCTTCAAAAGAAAAGAATTATTAAGATGAAAGCGTACATTCACAAGTAGATCAACATAACTGAATGAGTAGTATATTGTCTAAACCCTGCCGAGGGCAACCGGTCTTCCATCCAGCCAAGGACAATTGTTTCAGCAGCAAAAGCTGTCCGAATCAAATGATCTCCACTGTGCACAGCTGGAGACCTCGCAAAGCTCACAGCTGCAGCTCTCCTTCCTCAAAAGGGGTATGTCAGGGTGGGGCAGCAACTCCTTTGCAAGAGCACAGGTAGTGTAGGTACTCCTCCCTGTAAACTGCAGAGCATTTGTGTGTTGTGCACACTGCCAAAGCTGCAGCCGGGCTGCCCTTCCCGCTCTGCTGCTCCCTCGTCCACCTGTCCCAGGGAAGGAGCTGGACTAATGTGCCTGCTCCCCTGCGCAGAGCAGCAACCATCCTGTTGTAAGCACAGGATAGTGAGCTGGGCTATGGCAACTGTTGCACAGTTAACAGGACAAAAAAAACCCAGTTTACGAAGGGCGGTGGTGGAGGTTACTTGCCTACTCTGGGGAAGTGGAAACAACTAACAAGGTTAAGACAGAAGAGCAGCATTTAATGCAAAAAGTAGCAAATCTAACTAGATCATGAATAAGTGACCCAGAGATGTGGTTAACCACTTTTTGCTATCTCCTCATTTCCATCTGCTTAGCAACATTAACTTTTAAGAGAAAATGTTACTGACCCTCCCAAAGCTGCTCTTTAGGGGAGCAATTCCTGCAGTTGTCATTGCAACACACGGTTAAGAGTAGAGAGAGATGTGTTTTCAAAGTATGATCTTGAGATTGCTTCACTTGAAGTTGAAGTTAAAAGGCATACACAGATTAGAGTTTTCTTCTCCCCATCATTACTGGTTAATTAAAGATTAATTGGTTTTAAGTAAAAGAGTCAAGTGTGCAGAAAAATGATTAAAGATAGGAAAGCACTAGAACAGATGGCTTGGGAAGGTCATTTAGAGTCTCTGTCAATGGAAGTTAAATATCTGCCAAGACTAGCATAGGTATTGCTGATGCTACCTAAGGGCAGGAGAATAACTTAGCCCCATGAGATCCCTTGCCATACTACTCTTCTGTACTTCTGTAATTCAACTTATCCTCTTATATGTCCATATAAGGTGACTATAGGATGACTTGCAGTATATCTTTGGGTGATGAATTTACTGTCATTCTCAGCTCATTTCCTCATGAAATTTTGAGCTATTCTATTCAATTTTTATAGCATACCAGAGTCTTTCAGAGTTTCTTATTCTTTGTCACCTCTTTAACTGACTAAAAGAACCACAAGCTGTCGTGCAAGAATTTTAACAATAGAAAGTGTAAAACATTTTTACTTTAACAGGACCATTTTTTGCATACTAGAGTCCATCTTGTCATGGGTTTCTAAAGGAAAGGGTTTTAATACCATGCACAAGCTGCTTTACTTTGTGAGCACCATAGATACCCGGGATGCTAGAATAAGGTGCCAGTCTCCAGGAAAATTCAAGATTCCCCCCCAAAAGGTTAGGTCATTGGATCAAACAATGGGTAGTGGTAGAAATAAAGTGGGAAAGGAGAAACAAAGAGAAGAACAGCATCTTAAGAGAATAAAAAAATGACATAACAGTAAAATTTCTCATAACAAGGCTTTCATGACTTTTCCATATAGATTTAATATCATGAGGTATATCATGAGGCTTAACATTTTCTTGTATAAAAAAGAGAACTTCTGAACCCAATTTTTAAGATAACCCTGCTGGTCCCTTCCTAGCTAAAAGTCATACTCACATCTTGGAACCCTGAGCCTGAAAGGCATAATGACTCCAGAAATACAATTCAACACCAATGACTGTACTAACTGCACTAAATGTTACACATTTACTTTTCTATCTAATAGCAAAATACGTGTTTATTCTTTTACTTAACAAAATAATTCATGTGTTTTACTCCATTATTTGACAGAAACTTGGGATTTGGCTTGTCTGTACCCCTTTTATAGTTTATCATTCAGAAAATAATCAAGTAACATATTCAATTTGAAATGGTATAATACTACTCGACTGTGAGAGCAGGGCTTTAGCTCTGTTTTTTAACTTATATTTTAATTATTTCAAATTTTCAAATGAACTTTCATGACAATGCTGCTAATTTAATTTCATGCAAATATTATGGTGATATTTCAATAAAAATTTGCTAGTTTTTATATGATGCCTTGCCCAGATTCATGCATTTTTGTGTTAAAATAATTGTTTATTCCTATAACACTAATGGTCTTGAAAGCTAACTCCTCAGTTGAGATTGTAGAAGACTACAGAATACCAGGCAAGAACAACTAGTGAAAGCTTAAATGGCTCTGCCTGAAATCTGTCCTTCATCTATGAACATTACAAGTTGCTGGAAAGGGAATTTGGCAGTCTCATTACACTCTGATCTGTGCACAACTGATACATTGTCAGGGGACCATTGGCTACGCATACAGTGAAATAAAATCAAATGTTGAGAAAAAACAGGGAGCACTCCACCTGAGGTCAAATTGTAGCAATTTGCACAACATATTTGACTCTTCAAATCTGAAAGTGCACACAGCAGCTGTCAGGGGAGGGAATGGAAAACAGACGGAGGGAGTGGTTGTTGATCCTGACAGAAACATCACAACAAATGCTTTTAGATTTTATACTTTGATTTGACCCCTGCAAAGCTCAGCAGACAATTTCTGGGCACCAAATACAAATACATGAGCTGAGAAAACAAAAACTTTGGCTGAGTTCAGAAGGGCAGAGAGAATGAAGGGGAAGAGGCAGGATCCAGCCCACATTCTCCCAGCCATGCCAGAGGTTGGGCATCAATGCTGTAAGCCTGGGTAGAAGTCTAGGTGAGACAATTACTTGGGCAGTAAGCAGGAACACAGATGGTTTACGTTACGATTTTTTGTCATGTTTGCTTCTACACTCAAATAAACTATACTGTGAAAGTGGTGGGAGTCATCTCCTGTTCAGAGAGTCCCAAATACCAGCCAATCGGACTGGTAGCAAGCTGGATATCTCATGGGATAGTGGAAATCATGGTGTCAGGATGGAGATATTGCGGGACTCCAACTGAAGAAGCATTGTAGCATGGAGCCTCACACGAGCAGGAAGGAAAAAAGGGCTCTCAGAGACAAAAGAAAGACTTGGCCTTTTAACTGTGACTGTATATCTGCAAAAATTTATAGAACAATAGCTTCAAAATTAGAGGTGTGATACCACTGGAATTTAAAAAGCAAAAAAAAAAAATGCCGAATTAAACTGTGAAAAATACGTATATGGTTTGTGCTCCAGGTTGTTCTGCTAAAGCTTACCCAGGGGGGCAAATGCAGCCACTTGCACAAGGTGGTGAGGGGACACAGGAGAAGTTCATGGCGAGGTTCGCACAAGAGATCCCGCAATTCACACCTGCTGCTGGTAATCCAGGCACGGGAGATCTGCAGTCATAGTAGATTTTTCCTTCAGGGCATATGTGAACTTCAAATGCAAAATGCAGGTTAAATGAGATCAACTGCTCTTTTACACTGAACGTTTTCTGTTTGTTTTTGTTCGCAATCTATTTTAATGCACAGTTAGCCTACATTACAGTATACATAAGAACACAATCTGAATAAAAGTCTATAACTTCATTCGTATTACAGAGGTATAAAATTAATATATGTTTTAACGTAAAAAAAAGACCAAAGCTTAATATTAAGCATCTGGATCTATGCACCTTGGATCTGATACACAGCCCATTCTTAAAGATGGAATAATTATGCCTTAGGTAGACAGAATCTTTAGAAGTGGCAAAATTTTCAGTGTACTGAAATCCCTTCTAAATCCATTAGAAATTCATTAAAAACCTACTTTCTAGAAATCAAGATCTTAAGGCTTCCTAAACATGGATAGTGAGCCTAATTTTAGGTATTCCCATGAGAACATATTGACCTACACCTCGCATATAATTCTTTTTTTTTTTTTTAATTTCCCAAGTGACTTAGTAGTACAATTTGTGCCACAGAAAAAGGAAAAAGAAAAAACCAAGACAACTTGTGCTCCTAACCTCCTATTTTAAATATGATGTTAAGTATCTCATAATGAAAATACATATGAGGAGAAAATCAAATGACTCTTCAATGTCAAAAACTTTCTCTTGTGCAACTGTAATATGAGACAAGACTGTAAATTACCTGTATTTTCTGTAGTGGCTTCAATACATTTCACTGTTCCATTCAAACACTGACTGGAAAAGAAAAGTAAACCCATCCTTATTGAAGGGGAAAATGTTTTGTAGCCACCATGTTAAAAAAGATAATACAGCCTAACCTAATTTAAACAACAGAAATCAGGAGGAGAAGGAGAATTAAAATCCGAAAGCATGAGTTCTGACCAACATTTTGTTGGTGTTTTCTAACTGCTGATCTGTAATGAGGCCCAAACTCACAAAGGTGTTTAAGTACTATTTAATTGCCTAGCTTTCACTAAAATAAAAAAGAAGCTGGGTATGCAACCTCTGTGGGAACGTAGGGCCAGGTGATTCAGGATGCTGGCAGTGTAACACAAAACCTTATCCATCTTGGTGAATACGGAAGCATACAGTATGCAAATTTCCTGTTGCACAGATGTTAAGATACACAGCTTGATTCTTTTTATGATAAAATACAGTATTGCAGAAAAAAACATTCAACAATAAACCTAGTCCTCATTTTTTCATTTTCCTTAAAAAAAAAATTGTGAAAAAACTAAAGCATTGCAGAGGCATAGCAATGGCAGAAAAATGAAGCCCCTACTCTCACCACTTGAACTACATGATTACCAAGCTTCAGTTATAACAACTATAATATATAAGACCTCAGCAAGAATCAACCTTGACACTCAAGTCACAGACATGCTTTTAAATCAGCAGGTTGAGAGCATTTCTTGTAAAATGAACAAGTTTGACCAGGAAACCTGGGAGGTTTCCCCACTTGTTTCGGTGAGGTCAAGATTCCATCATGAATTAATAATACAAAATGACACAAATATAGCTCCCTGCAAGCCTTTGTTTGAAAGACTTTCCAAAATAGAATCACATTGCTTATTCTTCTGAAACCAGCCTCATATTGCTATCATAATGCCCCCAGGTCTAAGAACAGGACTGCAACCTCTATGTGTCTGTTTTGAGATATTCTTTAGTCCCTGGCTTACAGAATTTTCCAAGTGTCCTGTTGTTAAAATAAGCAGGTATGTAATCCAATTTATATTAGGCTCCCTTTTAATAAGTGTGTAACAAAAATAAAATCTTGATACAATAGACCTTCATTCTATGTGAAAAAATTCTCAAGGCTCTTGAATAGCATCCAAACTGTGATACGTGAAAGATAAAACTCTTGGCACTCAAACCTACCAGAAGCCTGTTGGCGTAGGGAGGATTTCTCCAGGCTGGAGGGCTTTGCCCTTGTAATGACAATGACAGGCAGATCTGTTAAAAGGATATTTATGCATATAGATACAAAAGCAAGATGAAATGGGATTTAAGGGCAATCCATTTATCAAGCTATTATGATAAGCAGGCCTTATAATTCATTAACTCTATATTTACAATATACTTCTAAAGGCAAAAACTAAAGGATGACACTCTGACTGTATTGAAGTCAGTGGCAAAACTCCTACCACCTTCAACAAAGTCAGGATTTTCCTCAATCTACATATTATTTATTTGCTGTTTCTGTGCATTAGTCTTATAGAAAGGAGCTTTTCTTCCCAGTTATGGGAGTAGTATGGCAACATGTAGTTCCCATTCAAAGTACTGTCAAAATCATGGGATAGAGATAGCAAAATCCATTAATTCTGTCTGTGATAAGAGCCAGATGGGACAGAAGTAGCAACAGAATTCCCCAGAAACAATGCAAAAATATGGGAATACCAAGTTACCCTACACTCTTTAATAGCTTGAAACAGTCTTTATCCCTACAGTATGGCCTTTACTGATCTTTCAAAAATATATGTTGCAATGAACAGCAATAACTCTGCATAGTCTTGAAATTTATATAAATACTCAATTCCAGTTTTTAATTCAATACCTGAACTCAGTAATTCCCCATGGTGGTAAGCTGCAAAATTTTAGTACACAATGTACAAAAACTGTTTCCTTTCATTGACCATTTCCTTCCTTTTAACTGAAGGGGTTTCCATTGTGAGACAGAAAAAAGACACTCCTAGCTACTCTCTCCATACTATCCCTGACTTTATGGATTGCTACTACATAGATTCCTTCCCACTTTTTCTTAAGTGTTAAAAACAAGGTTTTCATGTGAAAATGCTTTCCCATGAATTAAAAAAGTTTCATCACCCTTCTCTAAAACAGTCTGACATATCTTCTCTGAAGTGCAGTAGATGACTGTATACGCAGTAGCAGATGAGGCCCCCCTATTGATTAGTACAAAATAATATGAAAACTTTGCATATTGCTTGCTATTCTGTTTAGGCAGTCTGCATCTTGAGCGAAACAGCAGAAAAACTACTTTAAATCTTGGTGGAAAGAGGAAAATGTGCCTATGCATATATTCTATTTTCTTATGACTTACATTGATACACAAAAGTTGACCGACTCTTCAAAATATTTCCCATCAGGACAATTACATCCTTCTGCACAGTCATCACCACAGATATTTGGCATAGAAAGTGAAGCACAGGAGTGTTTACAAAAAGAAGAGCACTGATGATAAAGCATACCACTGTGACACATCACAGCTGGAGGAGAGAGAGGGGGAGAGAAGGGAGAACAACATACTCTTAAAATGTGAAAAATAGAAAACAAAGTAGTATGTCATGGGAGTGCAAAACAGCAAAGCAAAATGGTCCCTTGCTGCACTGGGGTGAGTTAAAATGCATGAGAAAAATATGCTGGCTTACTGTTTTCTTAAGTTAGAAATGTTTAGATTCAGGTGGGTTTATGTTAGACAATTCCTTGGCTGGAATTGTCTATTTTGTAAGCAGTAGGTGTCTATTCTTTGTATATGTTAAGTATATGTGTGTGTTGTGGCTGTGTCTATCTAACTCAGGTTTCCAAGACAGGAAGAATGGTCCAGTTAAGGTGGAGGCCTATGGTTTAGAAATGCCTTGTTTTAAATCATTGCTATATCCTACCTGGCAAATCACTGCCCACACTGCCCTGCCCACCCTGGGGAGCCCCTGCCACCCCGGCTTGCCTTCCCTTAGGGAACAGCCCTGCTCCTGCCACTCCCTGACTACTTTAGCCTAATAGGGACTTCCATATGACTTAGGGGGTTCAAAGTCAGAATTTTAAATTCTCTCTGTAGCCAACAGAAAGGGACAGGCACCTCATGTGAGGCAGTTCAGGGTCCCTGACTCAGATGCCTAACGTAAAGGCTATTATTGTTCTCCCCCGAGTATGTCATTAGCCCATGGCACAATTCTAGTTTCGAGCAAAAAAAGTAAATCCCTGTGTTTTGTGGAGTGAATGATACTTGTAGAATTTGACACATTTCTAAAAGATACTCCGTTCTGCAAACATTACTAACCACAGTAAGAAATATGAGATCTGAAGTCAACGATGACCCCGTGCTTGCCACAGACGTAAGCATAGTGTGCCAAAGCATTACACAAACAGCTGCTTCCGCATTTGCACGTGTCGAAGCGGCATAGCTGGTAGTATAATCCTGGACTGATGTAGGCATGGCAGGGAGCAAAAACTTCTTGATTGATGATATCACAGTGAGATGCATACCCAACTAAGAGAAGGTGACATTGTTTTAGCCAGATCCATTTTAATATAACAGTTAATCAAATGAATAGCACAGAGTATTAAAACCAAACACAGCCAGCTGTGCAACAAAAACTTGTATACAATGTCTTTCTGCGAAGTTTTATAGTTTAAAACTGATATTGTAGGCAACTCCCTCAACAACAAACTCCACTTAAGATAAAAATAACTATATAAAAACAGTTATGCCTTCCTCTAGTAGTGCAGGAAACTTAAATGGCAAAATAATATATTTCAAAATAGTTAGTTAGAAGAGTCCTCCAAAGCGTGGAATATGTTTTTTCCTACTTGATGTTTCATTTAGCTTTGAAATCAGCAATGGCCATATACTTCTTGGCATGTGGACTCAGGCAGCATTACAAACTGGAGCTCAAGGGCATGCAAGTCCCAAGATGGCCATATACCTTCCAGCACCAACAAACCCTCCTCCTATCGTTGAAGCATACTACCACCACAGGTGGTGGAATGTCGCAGGAATACCATAGTGTGGATCATATTTAAGCCAATTTTGCTGCTAAAAGAGTGTCCTTACCCTTCATCCTTCCTGTTCATTCCCACATACACACACTGACATAAGGGTTTCTAGGGTGTCTCAGTAAACTAGATTCAAGAAGTGAACTTGACTTGGTTGAAAAGTAACCTGACAAAATAAGTAAACAAACAAACAATAATTTGTTTTTCAGTTTCATTGGATTAAGATCATCACACACCTGGAAAAATGTTTGTGCTGGCTCAGTACAGGTGGTAGCGTGGGGCAGGACCACTTACTTACTCAGGGGCTGCTTTTTCCAGTGATGATTACAGGATCACAGGAAAATTCAGGCTGGAAGGGACCTCAGAAGGTCATGTAGTCCACCCTTCTGCTCTAAGCAGCTTACATTTATGTCAAACTCCACCTTCACTGAGGAAGCACAGAACTGAAGGTGAGGCATGAAGTATCTTGGAGAGAACTAACTTGGCTGAGATGTACTGCTTTAGAAGACAACCAATGCTGAAGGCATAAAAAGTCTGAAAATGCCCCAGATTCTTAAAGGTTTATGATTATTCTAGGCTTGCTCCCACAGGCTCTAAATATGGCCAGATCCCACATCCTTAGTGAGACCTTATGTCTGAAACATTAAAAACATTAGACTAAATTCTGTCAGAATTGGCAACTGCTGTCTGCCCATTGTCTTCATTAATTGAAAAGAACAGCAACATGGGAAGGAGGAGACAGTGAAAGTTCAACGCAAAACATAGGCACGTTAACCAGCCATACTCAGGAATTTGAACAAACCCACGGATCTCAGATTGTTTGCATCAGTTTGTGTGAGAGAGCATAGATGGAGGATAAGGAAACTTTTAATGCAGCAAGCATGGAGAAGCCAGAGACAGGACTTTGATCTGAACACTGTCTCAGCAAGACACTGTCTCCTGTACTTTCTTTGTCAATCTACAAACATGCATCACATCATTCCTCTTGACCGGCATAATTTACAGCACTATAGACAGTGTTCTGCCTAGCACTGTGCATGTATGTTAGACAGCAGAATTTAGGATTCATGGCCAGTACACCTAGCATTAAATGATCAACTATCTTGTATTTACAAAAGACTTACTTCATTTTACATGCTAAATGTATGGAAAGAATGGTCCTCTTTGCCAAAAAAGAAAAAGGAAAGAAAGGGTGCACATCTAAATCTGAAGTTGAAATATATGCATGTGCAACTCATTCACAGAGAAAACAAAAAATGCCCCATAATAATAAGATACAGCTAATTCCAGACTCCCATGTGAAAACATACCATTTTGCTGATTAATGTTGCAGGGATCAACCACAGGAATATTGATAGGCACAGAACAAGCTGAGGAAACCTTCCATGCATTGGCATGAAGTTGTGGGGTCCCTTCTATCATCCCTGCTGGAGAACTGAAAAGGAAAAGATCAACACTGCAAGCGTGCTGCTGACCTTATGGACTACATGGGTGAGAACAGAGGACACAAGTACATCAAAAAGCCTTAGATGCATAGTCACATTGAACATTCAACATGTCAAAAGAATTTCCATCTGTGACGTATAAAAGAAGAGAGGGTGTGTGAAGCTTTTTCCTCAATATTTTACTCATGCAAAAATATTCTTACACTCAAAGTCTGCCCTCACGCTTAATTTAAGTACTCTGAAATCAGTTGGAGGAGGCATTAATAAGAGGAGAATTTGGCCTTTGTTCGAGTACATACATTCAGGGAAATGTCAAAAAGTTGACCTATTAGCAAATTTCAGTGTTCTAGAGGGGGGCTGTTTGCATTTTAATACTGTTTTTCACCGAGTATTTCAAAAGCATTTATTATTGCTAGAGAAGTTTTGTGATATTATAGCTTGAACAACTTTGGAGAAAATGAAGTAAGAGAATAAGGGAAGCGTGCCCTTCTAATTAAACTATTCCTGTGATTCAGAATTACATTTTTTTCCATTAAAGCTTGATGTGGGGAAAAAAAATCAAGCAGTAGTAAGTGTTAATCAGGTGAGGATAATACTAGTATTATCATCCACTCTTTTTGTCAGTGCTCATGTATTTGCTCTGATGATAAAGGAGCACCAGGAAGGAAAAAAAGTGCATTCAAACAATATCATCATCCAATATCTTCTATAAATAATATGGTAGTTTTCTAGAATTACTTAGCTAAACATCTTAGAATGACTTAGCTAAAATTATGAGTTTCATATTTTAAAAAGTGACTAACATTTTAATTAAGAGATTTTATATTGGTTAGTTTAATAAAGTATGAGCATGTTAATGAAATGAAATAATCAGATTATTACATTCAACAAAACTTTTCACTTGTTATTAAACACATCCTAAATGCACAATATGCAACTTACAGAAAATCATCTCTTAAATTCCCGTTGTACGTTCCACATAGTCCTAAGGTTCTTCTCTTCCAGCTGACATCAGCTTGAACATAGATCCTCTCTCCATCTTTAGCAAACAGAATCTTCAAACCAAAACTAGTTTTCAGTTGCACAAAGAAAGAAGATATATTCTGAATTTCAACAGCCCCTGCACATAGCAAAAGAAAGAAAAACAAGGTCACTGAAATCCAACTTCCAGATTGTATTGGTTAACCCCTTAAACAAAACTGGTTTTGAAAACTCAGAAATAAAATGAGAAATTATGCACGACCTCACCTGCAGCCAAATAACCTCACCCATTCTCTATCTGAACTTTTGAGACTACATACCTTTTTCATTAGCAACACAAATCAGGAATTGCAACTACTGTCAAAAAATCTCTCACCTTTCTGTACCTGTGAGTTACCCAGAAACCATTCTTGCATTTCATTTTTTTTTAGAAGAAAGAAATGCAACAGCATGTCTCTGGCAATGAGAAAACAAGACAAGAAACCACTTGTTTCTTAGTCTCCGGGGATGTTATAAGGTTAATTAACAGATATCTGTAAAGTGTATTTCAATCTTTAGATAGAAGGTTCTCTCTTACTACTGTTGACATGACATCAGTATAGCTCCTTCCTTAGACTGTATGTGAACTAAGACCCTATCAAATTCCCAGTTTTCCTTACCAGAAAATCCATTATGCAAGGAAATGGAAATTCCACAGCCACAACATTCATTTGCTACACATTGTTGGGCTACTTGCAGCTGCAGGCTTAAAGCAGATCTATCTTCACAGGAAGCGTTTAGGCATGTGCGCACACACACACTTAGGTGCATAAATTCAGAAGAGGCAGATAAAATGCTTATGTGAGCTTAAAGATGTTCTTAGCTGATAAGACTTACTAGATACACCCAATTATCAAGAATGTGACACCAAAAATATTTGTCATAGATTATATTTGTCGCAGACTGTGGAAAGAGACAAGAAAGTGAATAGGGACTGATTCGAAAGACATAAAATGAAATTATCAGTGAAATTATGAAACAGAACTGTCAACATAACTGAAAGTATGACTGAGCTATGAAAGTCATTGCCATAGGAAGCTGTGAATGTCAAAAGCAGAACAGTGACTGGACAAATTCAATGAAGAAAAGACATAGCTGTAACCACCAGCACAGAACTTCCTAAACTCTGTTTTGCTGGAGGCTGGGAAAGGAAAGGGAAACTCCCACTTGACTCTTTCAGAAAGAGGCTAAAAATCCAGTAAGAATTTACTACTGATCACTGTAAGATATGAAATTTAGCAATATCATTTCCACCTTCAGTGCTTAATTTTATAACATCTTTTTAAGGCTGATTTATTTTACTATCCTTTCCAAAAAGGCGAAGTAACCTGCCTGAAATCACATAAGTCAGCGCTGAAAGCGTTGTAGATCCCATAGAGCACATGGATTCTATTCCATGCCATTTATTCCAAAAAGCTTTAATCAAGCTAGACTTTAACATCAGCATCAAGATGATTTCCAACCTCTCTTCACCTCCCTTCTTTTTCTTATCTCCTCCCCCTAAACACAAGTAAAATGAGTGGAATTTCTAGGTACTCTGCAAGATAAGAAATGCAAAGAAATGAGGGCATAATGAAGGACTCTATTTCACAGGCTGAAAAAGCACGTTTCTAGAACCATTACTAAGGTTATAAAAAGTAAGTGATTGTACATTTCATAAGTTATGTTTGAAGAAATTCCTTTTTCATAGACAGTTATTATTAAAAAGCTTTGGAGCATATAAAAGAAAGAATGTGAACCCTGATAAAATTCTACTCTATGCACTTCTTACCATTAAGGTTAAAAACTTGATTAGGGCCAGTTTGGACTTGACCATATCTCGTGAGAGTTACTTGTTTGCTCACATCATCTTCAAGAACTAGTGTTATAGACTCAATGCAGGCGTGGTCAAAGTTCTAAGTAGAAATAAGTTTCACCATCAGAAACAGGCAAAGACATTAATATTACCATGGAAAGCAAAAACAAACAAACAGGGGAAAAAACAGTTGTATAGAAAGGGAATACCAGAACTGTCATCAGGTAAATCAGTTGTAAACTATCACTCAAAGCATGAAACACAGCACCCGAAATTGTATGTAGAACATAATAAAATATTGCATATGCATGTAAGAGGAAGGAGAATGCATTTTAGCTATTATGGCAGTCTAATAGTAAGTGTACAGAAGCCCCCAAGGACTTATACTGGGTTCAAAAGGCCATACTTGCATGGCCACCCTGGGTACTCCTCATTGCTGGTTTAACCAGTGTTTGAGCAAGAGTCTGACCCCATCTATATCAAGCTGGTGCAACCAGAGCCTAAATGCAGCAACGCAGGAGAAAGAAACTGTTGCACACATGAAGGTGCTTCTCGCCTTGAAATATAGTCATGATCTCTGACTGCAGACCAAAAGAATATAATTTCTCTAGAATTATACTACACTAATTTATAAATATCTGACTATCAAAAAATATTGACTTATAAACTAACTCATACTCATCATTTTAGAGTGCTATCCAGGCAGAATTTATGAACCTAAGTACAGGACAAAAGGTGACACATAAACATCTTAAACCAAGCATCTTATGCTCCCTGGGGCCCCTATGTTTTCACCCAGAAACTTTCCAAGCTGCCTAGAGTTGTGCTAAGGGTCATTTCCAGTAGCATCCTTGTCTCTCAGTGGCTACCTAACCAACCATTTCATGCTTGAGGCCACCTGAAATGCAGAAACAGGAGTCTCAACACCTATGCAGGAGAAGGAGGTGCTTACAAAAAAAGCAGAGGCACCAGCTCATAGTCTAGCTTTTGAAGGGACATGAGAGACAGTCCCATAGTAGGGCAGCTTCAGTGCGTCCCTCCCTGCTGATGAGTTCAAGCACCCCAGCCCTCAGCACACAGGCAGCTGTGAGTCACTGTCTCAGAGCCCCTTCTCCTGAGAGACTAGGTGACTAATAACATCATTAAATCCAGTCTCGCAGATAAGTACTTTTTATAAGCACCTCTATTCAAAAAGCCTATTGTTGGATATCTGCCAAAATACTTTCAAACAAATATATGTGGTGGCTAGTCTCTCCAATAGTTTTCTGAAAGGCATTGTTCCAACAAATTAAATATGCTATAACATATCAAATAAAAATCAAAAGCTAGTAAAAAAAAAAACCTCTTGCCTAACTAGCGGTGTATTAAACCTGTTCAGTGCTACCAGCAAGAGCTTTTCTAAAGCCTAAGACATCTGTTTGTACTATAACCAAAGATGTATATACTTGTTTAATGTGCATAAATGAATAACTCTTTAGACTTTATCCCTCTAAAGATGCAATTGATTTTACAAAGGGCAATACAACATGTAGCAATACAACCACTTACAAAAAAGCTGTAAAATGGTTTCAATTTACATTTTCTGTTAAACATAACCTGGTATTTTATAGTAGAACCTATACAAGATTGCCTGAAATATGGATGGACACGTTTGTTGTGAATGTTCAACAAAAATGTGACTTACCTGACCACAAGGTGCTTTCTGTAAAGTGATTGTGAATTTGTTTTTCCCGGTGCCTTTTACCAAAATGTACTGGCAAATCCCAAGAAAGGTAAAGTGACGTCCATCAAATGTTGTGAAATGAGAGCTACCTGTGATGGAGCACTCAGCTTGAGAGAAAAAGGATAAACAAGAACGTTCACTTGCCTAAGAATGCATCATTATTCTGCAAATGATGGAAGAGAGATAAATAAGAAACTTTCTCCTTATTTCTAAGCACATAATCAGGCTAACTTTAATCTATCTAGCTATTATGGCATTTGGAAATAAAATGTTACATACACCTACCTCTGTCAGATACCATCTCATATTGCACACACTGATGTGCAGCATCTTTTGGTTCTAACTAGATGAGATGCCTTTGAGTCACAAATTCTCTAAAATACAAAAGAGTTTTCTCTTTATTACAACTCTGAAGTTTCCTAGAATCTTCTTCCTCATCATCTTTTGGCATGACTGAGTGTGAAAGAGGACAAACTTCTTTCTCCTTCCTTCTAGGCACTATGGCACTCCTTGTTACCGCAGGTATGAAGAGGCTGCAGGTATCTGTGTTCAGGGCGCATCTATATTTGTTTTTCAGTTCAGATCAGGAGTGCACTGTTGAAGCAAGTCTCCAGCACATCCTCACTTACAGCACTTTCATTCACACCATGGAGCAGTGCCAGAGCACATGAACTGAATTCATTTTGGCTGCAACTACTGCAGGAGGTGCTCTGTGGGAGCACATCTAACCTGCTCCCACTACTAACAGGCATTCACTCCCTAGGACCAGTCTAGAGGAGTCATAATTAACCCCCCCACATGCACAAACACACACAAGACATATGGGGCGGTTCTCAGTATCAACTGTTTTACACTACAGATTCACTCTGTCAAGCCTTGCTTGGTAACTGTTAAGCCTTGTTTATTACCTCATTCAGAGGGGGCTCCTTAATTTGTAAAAAATTCTCTCTTTCACAAGTTTCATAGTATATCTTGTCTAAGATACAGAACTGCCAAGGGAGTTTCACTACCCATCTACTGCATGTTCCTCTGAGTAACTCATTACAGAGACATGTAATCTTTAAAGATAAGGATCATTATCCAAACATAAACTGCTGTTACAAGGGAGAAAATACAGCACACTGAGCATCAGAATGATGTTTTTCTTATTATTTGCATTACAGTTGCACCTAGAAGTGAGGATATCCTTATATGTGGCCTAGGTACTGCACAGGCAGTAGAAATAAGCCACCTGCCCCAAAGAACATAGAGCGTATACAGGAGACAGAAAAGAAGAGGTGGATGTAACACACTGAGTTAGGGAAGCAAATGGGAAAAGGTAAGATGAGTATGGTCAGGCAGTTAACAGCTTCACCCAGCTGGCCCGCTGCTACTCTCAACATCCACCAGCTTAATCTTTCTTCTTAAATTAGCATCCCAAGCCCTTGGATCATATTTAGTTCTGTTGTCTTCTGAAAAGTTTATCCCTTATGTTCACTGAGGAGAGAAATGAATAATGAAATACAGATACCTGGGCAATCATGATCAGTGCAGTTCCAAATGCCACCAATACAAATACTAAAAAGAAAAATCACAAAACACAGAAATTCAGTGTTCTGATCTTTAGCAAAAAGAGCATCTTTGAGCTAATTAATATGTCTTGAATTCACCCCTTCCATAGAATAGCCTGCATATTTTAGTGTCACAGAGGGCCCAGAATGTAAAACATAGATACTAACCATTCTTTACAATGTAAGTGTGACTATGATGTTAAACTAACTATGGGCAGCAGTCACAGAGAGAGGAAACACAGACGTGAGGCTTTTACATACCAGTTGCTACATTCTTGTTCAATTTTTGAGCCTACAGGGAAGGCAGTTGCATGATAAATACAAGGACAATTCGACACAGAGATACAAGTTCCATTTTCCATAATGAGGCCTATTGGGAGGGAAGTTAATAAATGAGATAAAAAACAAATTAACCAACTCCAGATCACTGCTTTTCCCCCATCTGACTTAAACATTCAAATTTGCCAGAAGGTGATCTCACCAGTCTTAACCAGAGACCAGCAAAAAGAATAGTCCAGCGAGTGCAGAGAGCTCAAAGTGATGAACAGTGAAGCTCTCTCAAAGCAGTTGTCACTCTGAATAGTTGCTTTATGAAAAACGTCTGCCTTAAGTATGTAAAACTGTACAGACTCAAAAATGAAAAGATTCTGAGATCACATAATCTTCGGTCCTTCTAGAACAGGACTGTTCATAGTCCAATCCCTAATTTTTATTGAGTACAGGTCTCAGGAAGTTTGTTTTCTTGTACAGAGCATAAGACACATTCTGTTTAAACAAAACCTCAATAGACTTTGGAATAATTCCAATAAAGTGGATTAAATCTATGCAATATCTTATTGTAGCAATCATTAGTGATGGCTCCAGATTTTAACTGATATTTCATTCTGAGCCACCTTTGTATTCTAGAGAAATCTTTAGAACACAATAAAAGGAAGAATCACAGTGAGAATAACAACAATTAGAGCAGAATTTACAATATTCATACTTTCAAGTACAATATTCATAATTTCAAGTACAATATTCATACTTTCAAGCTTTAACTTTAAGCACAGTCTATTTAGACAACTTTATCATGATGTTGGATATTAGCTTTACACATATTTTTTCATATAAAATTGACAGTACTTACCATCTGGACAGTAACAGCCGTCTAAGCAGTGTAGGTTGCTGCCAAGACAATCTTTTTCAAATGTGCAGGTTGGTGGACAACAACTGATGCAGTCACGGTGTACAAAGCTGTCTTCACACTTCTCAGCTAGAAAAAATACATGGTACGTTCAACATATTTGTGCAGTGCTTCTGGTATAGGTAATTATTCAGATCAGGTACAATGGATTGTTTGGAGAGGTTTTAACTGATTAACTGTGGTGAATCTCTCATCGGTATTTAAGTCCCTCTTTACCAAAATCTTACATCACCCCTCCAAAAGAAGCTATAGTTTCTGTGACAGGGGAACGTATCTCAGCTAGTTCAAAGTCTTGTGCATGAGACTGAACTGCAATTGATGGGTGGTGGTGCTAACTAGAAGGAGCTGAATTAACTGTACTAATTCTGTTATAGGGCCAGTAGAGGCTGAAAGGTCATCTGGGAAGAGGAGCAACATCAGATCTCCACAGATGTTTGTTCTTTGTCCTAGAATATGATCAGCACACGTGACGTTTCAAGCAATCTGAAGAAACATGAATTTTGCATGGATCTAGATCAGATCACAATGGAATTAAAACATTCCTCTAGCAAGTCATTGACTTCATTGTTCGCCAGCAGTAGTGAAGCTGGCTGATCTACTTCAGTATCAGGTTTGAGTCCTATAGTGACAAACGTTGTCGAGATGGAATTATTTGAAATGAATACATGGGGTATCTCAAAGGTCACATAGTATGCTTTATTAAAGAGTCTTACTACAGGCAGGAAAGTCATCTCTCCAGTCCCGCACCGGGGACCCAGCGTGAGAGCATGCTCTAGCATACTCTGTCACTGCCCGGCAGTATGTTTCATCATCATCCACCCTGAAACGACAAAACAAGAGAGTAATCAAGGAACTCAAATCTCATCCACGAATCTCTGCCATGGGACACTATACAGGATACTTCACATGTGGCTGACACCACTCAGTCATAATGGCACACAGTGAAAATACGATGAAAAGGAACGAGCTATACTGAATACACTGTTGTGTTTTTATCATTTGATCCCACAAAAAGTTACTTCATTTTAGTACTGCCACGATGAACAAAACTACTAATTTATTACAAAAAAGATAAATGCTGCTTATGGTGAAAGAGAAACATGACCTTGTCTTGAGGATGATGGACAACTCAACAGTCTCAAGATCCATCTCTCAGGCCCTCTCCCTCCTGCATGACGTGGAAACTCTGACCTAGACTGATAAAAGACATTCTGGTACAAGTAACAAGTTCAAGTTTCCCATTGCCTATCAGTCCTTGAACTTAGGTGAGAAGAACCCTGTTGGTGGACTCCTGACCTTGTGCTGAAGTGCTCGGCGCCAGAAGCATCATCCACTGAATATTGTAGACAGGCTCAGGGATTTACAGCACGACCTTGGGCAAAGACATTATCTCTGCCTTAAGTCTATACAGAAGAAGCTTTACAGTGCGCTTTTGCCAAGATCAAGTAGAGACATTCATCAGTGTTTAGGTAAGCTCAAATTTTATTCAGATGTAAGTCACATAAGGCAAGATACCACCAACCTTTTGTTACTGTGAAAGTCCAACAACTCCCATCACTCACTGTGGAGGACTTGATGCCAAAATGAACTAATCGTAACATGACGTTTCTATTATAAGCATATCTGTGACAGACCAGCTGAGTTTGTCTTTCAGCACACAAGATCATGCTTCCAAAATTAATGGTCTTAAGAATATATTATATTGTGTTTGTATTCTGCTTTCAACACATCTGTTATCAAGTCAAACACCACTATACTCTTTGTTACAGTGATCAGAGCCTCTCCAGCTCTCTTTATCTAATCCAATTAAATGGGTCTTAATAGAAAGAATACTTGGCATACACTATGGCCCCACAAAAAACTTCATAAATTGACACTAAGCCACAAGAAGAGAGGTCTCTTTTATAAACAAAATAAGCCTAAATTAATGAGGTTCTGAGACACAGAAACTTCCTTCAAGGTTTTTACGTTCACATAATTCACATCAACACACATATTCATGTTGACAAAAATCAAATCCACCTTAACACCATGGCACTGATTCAACATTACTTTTGAAAATTTGCTTTTCATTATTCTTCTTTTGCTGAGAAAAAGTCACAATAAACTCCTGAGTTAAAAGAGACCACACAGAGGCAACTCATCTCTTCTCTGAGCGAAATCAATGTACAGATCATAAACTTCAGGAAGCACACTTTGGAGATTTACCTACAAACACAAATTCTTCCATCCTGACTTTACGGTAAAGCAGAAAACTAAAAATTCATCAAAAATGAACTAGCAAGTTGTATTGGATTATACTGAGTGATTCTTACTTTTAGTCTTCTGATCCTTTCTGTATGTTTTTTATTAAATTGATGATACTCTGGGAAGGCCATAATAGTATCTGGTAAAAATCCTGCTATTTATGACAATTACCTCTTGATTTAAAAACCCTACTAAAAAGGAAGTGGTACACTGCTCAGTCATCTATTCAATTACACTCTGGAGCACCAGTTTAACTTGAATGACAAGAACTAAACAGGAGTCTGGAGAGCCAAGGAAAAATACCAGGTTGCGTATAATGCCAACAGCTGAGGGCGTGTAACTCCCACCAAAGCCAATGGGAGTTGAATTTCTTTTGACAACTCTAAATTTACATAAATAAAACAATTTTGAAAAATTCCACTAATTTGAACCGTAGTGGTTGCTCATAAAAACAGTCCAACTGTGTCAGACAAATGGTCCAGCTCCTCCAGTATCATTGATATTTCCCCTTAGTATCATCTCCATGTATTTTTGATTCAGGACCTCCAGATACAGGTTTCAGGTTTTTTGTGATTAGCAGCTCCTCTTTTGTCGTTAGCAATTCTCCATGGATTTCTCTTCCATGTATTTGTCTAGTATTTCCTTGAATCCATGTAAACCTTTAGCAATCAAAATATCCCTTGGCAGGCTGGTTCTGTGCCCTTTGCTTCCACACTAAATCACCCACTGAGGAACCCCATCTCTTTCACTTTGAACTTGGTTCCTCCTAACTTCACTCAATGCTGCTCAGTTCTGGTCTCAAACGAAAGAGTGAGCATCCGTTTCATGCGTCAAAAATAAATACATAAGAACTCTAGTCTTACCTGCAAAGATCATTCATACAGCTAGAAATATAAGAATACGGATCTATGCTTTCATGACAGCTGAGAAAAGGAAACTGTAGGAATATTTGGCACTTGAAGAATATGTCCTGTGCATTAAGGAGAATCAGTAAATGACAGTTAGCAAATACTTTCTGAACAAGCATAATTCTTTTTAGCTTTGTTTCCCTAATCTAGGGTCCTTTATACCCCCATTAAAATTTGAGATTCTCACAGTCTCAATTTATTATTATGTTTCCTTTATTATTCTTCCTAAAATTTGTCCTCTCTGCCTAGGCTGGCTTGATTGCATGCTGCTTCTAAACTGAAATGACAGAAAAAGCATTTTGTGTCAATGCAGGAGCTGAGCATGTTATTTCTGCAGTATTTCACAGTTTCCAAAATAATGATGCCAGGACTGGAAACTGAACCCAATTTAATGCAGCAATGAAGAGCTCTGCCAGCAGACCCATGCCACTTGGCACATCCTATCTGAGCCTTTGTACTTTCAAGCTAAACATCTGAAGATCTTCAGACATTCCCTAGCAACAGTCCTGATCTGAATCTTTCCTTCCTCAAAGCCTCAGTGCATTTAAGGCTTTTTTCAACATGGTGTATATTGCTAGCTTCTTGTACTATCACTAGGCAGTGAAGATTAAGAATATATATATAAAAAATAGGATTAATTTACCTCAGTGGATTCTGCATCAGTTGAGCAAGGACTGGAAAAATCTGAGGCAGTAGGTACACAAGCTATGTCATCTGAGGTTTGCACAGCCCAGCTATTTGCAAATTCAGCAATGTCTTCTGTACGTTCACGGACTGCATGAAAACATTGGAAGAGCATCCAGGAAAAAAAAATGTCAACACAAACACAAAAGACAGTTTGGAAATTTCTGGTAGTTTTTCAATGTGTTCGTTACTTCAGTTACAGGTATGTTCAGAGTATGGGTGGTATAAAAAAATGTTATTTTTCTTTTTTAATTTCTGTTAGTATTTTATATTACATTTAAATTACAAGATTAAAAAAATATATGACAAGGTGTTGGTTGGGATTTTTTTAAGTGCAATCACCGACAATTTTATAACAAATATACAAATAAGGACATGCATTGAATACTTAAGAAAAAATACATTTCTCTAAAACAATTTAAGGTTTTCATCATGTTTCACAAAGGTCAGCTAGCACTATTATCTCCCTCCTTTTCCCTTGCTGCAGAAAAGCCCTACAACAAACACACCACTACATGCCCAGCTTTCCTGACAGCATGAGCATGGGAGAATTAATGAACGAGATGAATGACTGGAAGTCATGGCAACAGGCTGAGGAAGATACACGAACATACAAGAAGGTTGGCACTAAAGAAACAGACCCAGAATTTCCATACTTTTGCAGCAAGAACTAAATATTACATGTTCTTAAGTCTGTTAAAAAGGGTATATTGCCTCCACCTTGAAGAACTTCACAGTAATTGGTACCTATGCTACGGTTATCTATACCTATGCATGGTTAGGAGATAGGGTATTGAAATGAAATTAGCTACAGTTTTTTCCACAGAGCTGTACTATCCAAAACTTAATCTATCTTCTTCTAGCACAAGATGTACAAAATTTGACACTCTGCAATGTGGAAAGCCCCAAAGCACACTAATCAGATATTTGTACTTCGATCTCCACAAATAAACAAAGATAAGATCCTAACCACCAGTCTATTTTACTTAAGAGCCAGGGAGACTTAAAACATTTCTCCCTCTCTGACAGAATAGTTCTTTATGCAGAAAACCCTTCCCAAACATAAAAAGCTGGGCTTTGATTTAGAGGTAAACCTGTTGACATAACTCTGCTTCTGCAAAAACATTAAAAATATTTTATTTAGATTTCGACATGGCTTGAAAAAAATTTCTAAGTCCTCAAAAAATGCCACAAAATAAAATCACTGTCCTTGAAACAGTTCTATACACAGATACAGCCTTGTATATTAAAGCAATACAAAGATGCCATTAAAGATGAAGATAAGGAAACAGAAAAGGAGTTTGTTTTTAAACTGTGCTTTGAAAAGGAGTATTACATGCCTCTCAGCAACTTACTTATTTGGGGCATTGCAAATAGAGAGCATTCAGACTCTGGAAGACTCAGGATAGATGTAAGAGCTTCCCTTACACTCTTGGGGGAAGCAGTTTAGCTGGGGGAGATAAAACGTCATCCCAAATGATTTATAGGATTTGGAAACACTTAGAAAAATGTTGCTGCTTAGAAGTAACTTGAATTAGCAGTCTATTCTTGTGAAGATACCAGAACTTTGTGCTTTGTATTTGCACAGAGTCAAGACACCATGTTATACAGCTGGTTCAAGGTTAAAATGATTCATAGCTCTCTCAATTGTACACTACAATAATACTAACATTTCTGATAAAGAAAAATGCTAGAAGAAATTATGATGGTGAAGAAATGTAGCTCTGGAAATGAAGAAAGCTAAGAGCTGGAAGTCTTTTATAACAAATAATACATTTAAAGATACTGAAATTACTATTTTTTAGAGATTGTGTGAATTCATTATCTCCTCCAAACTCCATTTTTCTCCATTAATACAGATCACCAGTTTTAACTAGTTATTAAACATACTATACTCTAGTGTGTAGAAGTTAATGCATGAAACAGGGAACTTATTACTCTCATGGCAGAAGAGGTATGAGAAATTTATATTGAGCAAATTTTTAAAAACTATACAAAGGTAGGTTCACTTAGAAAGTCAGAAAGCTCTGCTATCAACCATAAAAAATGGAGAAAAACAAAGGAGGGGAAAAAGGTTACAGCAAGATAACTTTTGTGACTTAAGAATATGCAGGGCCATGGGACTAGATTCTCTCAGCAATTAATGGTAACAGTAACAGTCCTATCCTTGCTTTTATCAGAGACTGAGAAAAATATTCCTCATATTCTCAAGCTTGTTCTTTTTTTTTTTTCACATTAGTTGCAAGTAGGACAAAAGTCCCTGTAGAGTATTGCCTACATAGACTACAGAATATTCTGCCAGCTTAGCAAGTCATCTCTGCCTCAGACACAGCATTGAGCAGCTCCTCATCCTACAGGGTAGTCAGAGGCCCCAGATACAAAGAACTCCCTGGCAACAGTTTTGAAATTTACATATTTCAACTAGCATTTTTATGATGCGCACATAAACAAATGACTGGAGATGGTGCTTTTTCCAAATACTAATATTTTGGCTCTTCTCTCCTTCTCCCTCCATCCTTAAACAGGAAGAAAACCACAAGCATTTGTTTATTTATTTTTTATTTGAAGGCACTTTCATCAGCTAAAAGATAAACATACCCCAGGTGCTTTGCTGAGCAAGAAAAGGCTTAAACATACATAGAAATACTTTCTTGAACTGGGACCTTTTCCCTTTGCATCTTTAATGATGAGGAAAAGTAGAGCAGATACTCTATTTTCTACTGAAATAATTGAAACAAGACTCTGCCTTTTTACAGTATTACATTTAAAGTGAACATGGAAGCTGTTCTCACAAGGTAAGGGTGTATTTCTAAGCTATTTACTTACTATTTTGCGGTATCAGGTCATCATATTTATTGCCATTAAAATTCCCACAGAGGCCACAAGGTTTTCCCTTATGATCTTCTGTCAGCTTAATATAAATACCAGAGTTTCCATCCCAAGCAAGAGAAAAGCCAAAGGTAGTCTTCACCAGAATATAGTCAGCCAGTCTCTCAAGGAAAGCATTTCCAACTGTCTGAGGCAACATTAATCTGGAAAAAAACCCAGTCTGCTTCAAAGATCTCAGATGAGATGAGGTTAGTGGTAGAAAAATACCACATAAAACATCACCTTTTAGCTCACTAAACCCTTTTTCCCAGATGTATACAGTCACTTCCATTCAATTCTTCGTCATGTTTTTACTATCTTTTCTTCTGTTTACTTCTCTATATCGACCAACAAAAATGAATGCTTTTCTGCTGTATGCACCTATCAATTGTACCAATTATAAGCTTGAAAGAATAATGAATCTTCATTTTCAAAGCCCAGCATGGGCACGTTGAGGAATATGTGACTTCATGAGCATGCTGCATTGTGCGAGGAGCTATGTGACACTATGAGCACCAGCAGCCCTTCTGGGCAAAGGATCCTCACTGGGTTAAACATCTGCAAATGGAGGAACTTACAGTACAGCAAATCCTATTGACCACAATACTGTGTATTTTCCTCCTTTGGCCAAGACCACAGGACAATAATACTGCAGCACGGATCTAAACCTAATCTTCCAAAGTTGCTTCTGTGGGGATGAACAGCATCACTGTAGCTATTATTCTCAGATGCTAATGGCTATAGCATTACATCAAAGGGGATGGCAAGAACACCTTAACAACTCTTTGAAATTTTCTGTACTTTATCAACCAGTAAAAGATACTTATGATAGCCTTGCACTCATCTTTCTACTTATTAAAAAACAACTGGTAAATTTGGGAGTTTGATATACTTTAGAGGTGTTTTGCAGACTTTTTGCCCCAAAGGGACAAAGGGGACTTAAGATCTTTGATTCAACCAATTCAGACTTGTCTAGAAGATTATGTCTTACGTTAAGTATAGCTACCAAGAATAAATAATGACTACCTTGTTCAAAGTGGTATCAGGATGCACCAAGGATTAGCTAGAATTGTCTGACACAGACTTTGTCTATACAAAGATGTAGACTTTGTCTATACAAAGTAGGGATAGGTAATCATTGGATTACAGCTGAGAAGTTGAACACAAGGTTCGTGCAGGGAGTGTATGCTATCCTCACTCAGGTATTACATCAGCACCATTACATCTGCTCACACTAGAGCTCTATCAGCCCCCGTACAGAACAGTGCGGGATCAATAAAGATATGTATCAAATTATTTTCTCTGGCTGGTGTAAAAAGCATCAATTTCCCAAACTCCACACTATCTTTTTGCAATAAAATGTTAAAACCCACATTAGAACACTTACCTCATTCCTTCTTTTCTTACTTCATGTCCTGAAATAATTATTTCTTCTTGGTTTGAAAAAAATAAGCTGATAGACCTCTGACAAGTATATACCGAACCGTAACAGTGAGGACTGTTATGAACCTTAGAGGGGAAAAATACACACACGATAAGAATAAATGTTTGTTCTCAATAATTTCATGCAATTTTTCATAAACTCATATATGGTATTTTACATTTCTATGCACCAGTCACTGAAAGAGCTTTACAAATAAGTACTATTAGAATTAGAACATAGAAAAGTCACATTTACAAAGATATGCAAAACTAGAAGTTCAGGCTACCCAATACTACTGAGAAGTACAAATAGAGCAACTGTTTAATAGCACAAAGCATCACAAGACACTGTTTTAAATACTGGATTAAATACTCAAGTATTTTATGTAGATGAACTTCAGAGACACTGTAATGAGCTAGCTTATAACTGCCAACGTAGGAGCTTGTTATTTGCACTGAGGAGACACCCCTATTGCTCTGTTTCTAGAGGTCTGATCTACAAGAGGGGACTACAAACCAATACAAAACCTCAGAGTAGTACCAGCATTCTCGATGCCAGCTGAGAGTGACACCAGCTGAACTACAACATGCCTTCCTGAACCACTAAGGATTTGTTAAGATTTTGGAGTGTTCCCATGGATTACTGCAGGCATCTAACATATGTGGATCTGTTAAAACCTGTTTCACACTGGCTTTCCAGCCCTGCTAATGGAGAAGGGCAGGCTTTTCTGAAATCTGTCTCTCCCCATTATGCACATATAGCATAGTCAGCCAGGGTATTGGTTCAAATCGCGTATCAGCTTCCCTAGTTTGAACACAGCAAGGGACATACAAGTTTCAGTCAGCCAGAGAGAGATTTGCAAAACCGTGTCTCAGATATTGGCAATGTGTGACTTCCCTGACTGCCCACTACTAGAGAGAGGTGTTAAACAGATCTCAGATGCATGCTTCCAGAAATTAAAACCACGCAACTCCTATCTCAGCATGTCTACAGTTTTATGGCAGTGAAGTAGATCTCACATAATAAAATGTGTAATCAGACCTTGGAACAGGCATGATAAGACAGCACTCTTCCTTTTTATAGTTTGGCAAAAAGGAGGCTACCCTGAAGTCAGACTTCCTTTGCATTCCCAGCCTTCGGCGAGGCAGAGCACGACTCCTGCAGGAAGGCCCTTTTCCCCAGAGACCACACAGCTTTCATTGGCCAGGGCGTGCTTTCAAGACTTGAAAACTGTGGGTTCAGATTTATTCTGACTGATGATAGGGATATAGGTCTCCAACTTTCTGTGTATATGCTCTAACCAATTAACTACTACACAATTTTGAATTACATTCCCATAGTCTAAGTGAGTTTTAAGCACATACCTACTCCAAGGGCTTGAGCAAAACTTCAACAACTTTCATTAATCTCAGTGGGGGCTGAGCCACCCAAATGTGTGGGATGCCCTAGACTATGGTGCTTTAAAAGCATGTGAGCTGATTTTAAACACCACTGAGGAGACAGAGGAATGTGTTGTAAATCTTAGATACCTATCACTACCTGAATTAAAATGTAGACAGAGTTTACATAGCTCAAATATGACTCTTATGACTGTGTGCATCACCATTCTCTGAGAAGGATGGGAGTTGCATTACCAGTTTACTTGACAGTGCTGTGAAGCTAAATAGATTAGTAACTGGGAAACATTTTGCCAACATAGTAATGGAGGCGTAAAAGTAACTAGAGCTACCGTTTTTGTAGAAAAGATCTGTTGGTAAACACATAGAGTGCTAACACATACTCGAATTAATCTTCCTAAACTGACAGTTAATCCTGGAAGTAAAAACCAGTTACTGTTTCTCTGAGTGAAATAAACCAAACCAGGAAAAGCATTAGAGCTTTTACATGTATAAAGAAAATCATAATTAAAGACATCATAAATGTTACTAATATTGACAGATGGTTTCTATGTAAACCTGGCCCAAGACAGAAAAACAATCAAGGAAAATCAAAATAATTCTTGTGTTGTCTTCTCCTCTAGAGGTGGATTATTAAAGCCCAAAAGACCATAATGTGAGGATTTGGCAAGGTTTTTGGCTCTCCATTGCCCAGACTGTAGTGACAGTACTTATTAATTTTCTGAGTAAGCATTTTCAGTTTTTAGCAAAACGTGACATTTGTTCCAGCAATTGAATGGTAGTTTCTCTCTTTCCAGAGCAACTGGAATCCAACTGGAAGTAGTGATTCTAGATTTTAATATAATCTTGGGCTTTGCTGCAGCATTTTCTGAAAACTAAAAGATCATAGCTGCACACAGAATCCAAAGAATTAAAATGAAATTGTGGAAGGCAGATGTAATAGCATCTGTCTATAACCTGAGTGAATAGAAATGGCAGTTTTAATGGCAGATTTATCTTCACTAGATGCTATCATCTGCGGGGAGAGGAGGTCATGTGTTTATAAATAAAAACTAATCCTTGGAGCAGAAATCAGCATCTAGATCTGCCCTTGCCCCTGCGAGCACTGTGACCACGAGGGCTCAGAATTAGGACCCCTCTTGTCCTCTCTCCCCTGCCCAATCAGCACCAAATCCCAACCATTGTGTAAAAAGTAATATAATGAGCTCATATCCTCTCCCCACAATAACCAATAAATAGGTATAAATAGGGCATCTTCCTTCAAAGAGGGTATAGGTTTGAAGTCTCCCTGAGCCAAAGTCGTTAACCATGGATACTCAGCAATTTGAGGAAATTACTAAAAAGAGTGCCTTCCATATATAGGTTAGGATAAAGGCTTTTGAGCTGTTAATCTTCTCTCCATGACATAGAGGTAATCCAAAATTAGAGCGCAAATCCCCAGAGGGGACAGAGGTTTCTGTGGGCCAGGGAGGCAGCTCCCCGTAGCATGCCGATGGCTGTGAATCAGGGCCCAGTACACTCGGGTGCCCAGCTATCAGGCAGGTGAAAGCTGTTTGCACTTTACTCAGCAACTCAGGTTTTTTTACAATCTGACAGCTAAAGTTTATTGAAGTTTCCAAGCTCTGCTTTAAGACCCACTTTTGCTCCCAGAAAGGAGAGATCGGAGATCCGTTTTAGGATAGGGGGAGTAAGAAATACTATTTTTAATATACTGACTGTTGATTATCATTTCATCAGTGTTTTGAGTTGCTGCACATAGGCTTAGACATTTTCCAGCAGCATAGTGTTATATTTAAGCAAGCGATGCGACAGTTTGATCCATTTATTATCTTTCTATTTATTTTACTTATGATGAAAAATAAGTCCTGTAATAGAGGAATACTCAGTGTGTTATTTCTACCATATGCTCACATACTTACCCAAACAGTGTACTGGGGTTCTGGGGTGCTGCAGTCTTTTGCAAAAATATAGGAGCAATTTCCTGGGAAGTAGTAGTAGATGCCATCAAATGTTTCAAAATGATACTGTCCCCACGATTTGCAAATCCCATCTCGGTCCTTACCAGTGTTAGGTACTGGAGAGAACAGACTGAGTTTACAACAAGCACAGTAATAAAAAATTAACAGGTGTCACAGAAGTAAGAGCTCAGAAAGGAAATAAGAGCTTATAAAGGAAATACATAGCAAGGACAAAAGATAACCTCATTTCTTCAACTTTAAACAAAGTCAGTACATTTTTTTTAATCTTTAGGCTGCGGTTTTAGTCACATGCCATCATCGTAGGTTTTTAATTTGCTTCAGTGGATACATTTTAATTATAAGTAGAGGCAAGGGATTTAGATCTACTGCAGATCCTGGAAGACAATTCTTGTTGATCCCTTCACACAGCAGATTCCAGAAACTTGTGCATTGCAATAAGTCACTGTTTGTTAGAAAAATACAGCGACTTTTTGGTTGTTCAGCTAACTATAAAAAAGCTGGCTAGCTACTGATGTACTAGACAGTGATCTATCTGTTATGGTATCTACGTATCATTACAGTCCAAGTGCTAAAATGTATTTTTTGATGTTGCTCTATATATATCCCTAACGCATATCATTTTAATCCTCTTGGCTACTAGTGGAATGACAGTCCTACAGAGGAATCACAAACATGCTGTTAACAGCATTGTTTTAAAAACCTGCACCTTAAATCTCACTTGAAGCCGAAACTTGACTCTTCTGGCCCAAAACTTACCAATTTGGCACCTGCTTCCTTGAGCCTGAAATAACTGACAGTCACAGTCACCTGCCTCTGTGCAGGCTGCTCCATTAAGGCACTCCTGAGGACATGAACCTGTAAGCAAGCATAGCAGCCTTTTAGTAGACACGGTATTTTGCAAACAGGCTGAGAGATCCACATTAAATCTGTTTATTGTTAAATCATAAGCAGCTATATTAGCTAAGAAAATTAACCAACAGCAACCTCCAGTTTTTAACATTTACTTAATTTTATCCTTCGTGTTCCTTGGTTAAAAGAGAAGCAAGGTTCTCTCTCATTTGGTTTGAGACTTGTAAACTAACAAAGGAGCAAAAGGTCAACCTCCTCCCAGCAAACAAAAGGTCAAGTTCCCATGTAAAGAAACCAAATCCCAGTCCTGCTGATCTTGAAATACACAGGACACGGATTATTCTAATTGACTAAATTCAGCACAATTTATACATATGTTCAGCTCCTCCCTCCTAAGCATTACAGCAAAGGGTACATTCAGCTTATGAACAGTCTAGAATATATAATTTACAGAGTCAAAACCAATTATAAATAACCTTCCACCCATGCTAAACAACATCAGTTAGTAGGTTATTTCTGCTTAAGAGGTGACTAGAGTCAGAGACTTAAGATTCCATGGGAATGACTTGTTTTATGTTATAATTAGTAGTTGTTTCCAATTGGGTCTAAATCATTGTTCCCCCCAAGTGGAGAAGAAAGGTAGTCCCAAAGCAAAATTTCATCAGGTTTTGCAGATAGTTGCTTTCCTTCTTGGCAGAGGATTAAAACCCTAGATACAAACGCTTACAATCTTGCTGATGGAGATTAAAAAAGCATTGCAAAAAGCAGGAAGTAAATTAAATAAACAGGCCCTTCCACTCCCAATGAAGCCATGGTAAAGCTGCTAGTGACATTAAATGGGACCAAAATGGGACCTTTACAGTAAAGCACACACAGAAGCTGCCAATGATTAAGAACATCAGCCTTCACTGTGAAAACTCCTTTCCATGCTTAGTTTTGAATTTTTTCCATTTAAGAATTGCTTTCCAAATATACACAGATACTCTGAAAATACCGACAAAGCAGAAAATACTGTTTATAGAACAGCACTAATGTGGAAAACTTCTTTGTTGTTGTTAGAATTGTGAGCTGTAATATTACATATATTCATTTACATGGAAAAACACAGCAGAAAGCGCCTACCCAGGCATATGTATTTTCCAAGAAGGATACCAAAGTTCGGTTGCATACAATGAACTTTTCTGCAAAACAACTTCTGTAACTTGGACCTGCTTTACGTGTTTGTAAAATGCTTAAAACCCTCCAGGAGCAGCTGCATGCTCATTGCCTGAGCACCCCTGACCCTTCGTGCAACCAGTTACACGCCGCTCAGACATACTTACATCCTCTGCCAAGGCCAGAAAAAGTGGCAGAAAAGAAAAATTGCAATGGAACTAAACTTTAAAAAAAATCAAAGGATTGGCTTAGTTAGCTGTTCAGATTTGGTTGTAAGGCATTATTTTGAAAGTACAATTTTAACAGGAATTTTCCATGATTTAACAGGGATAAAACAAAAAAATGAGACAGGGCAGGGTTTTGTAGGGGACATAATGAGGAGGGCTTCCGCAACCCATGGTAACACAGGAGGGCTGGTAGGAAGGCAGCATTTTCAGGACCATCTCTCCTCTTGCAGGTGAGGACTATGGCACTGACCTCCTGGCACACTCCGCATCAAGGCCCTATGAAGGTACGACGGAGGAGAGGCAGCTTGAACCTGTTAGAGAAACGTAAAAGCAAAATCAGGGTATTTGTGCTTTACAAACGAGCCAATGTGAGCCTGAGGCCTTGCAGCCTAACATTGGGTTGGGACTTTTAATATAGAAGAGTAATTTGCAACTCAGCCAGCACATGGCACAGCCGCAGGCGCTGCAGGAGGGATTGGGAGCCTGGGCCGGGGGGCAGGCAGTGACTGCAGCAACCAGCACCATGGGGAGGAGAAGCACGGCTTTTGGGGGGATGAGGAAGGATACAGCTGCACTGTGGGATCACCGCTGGCCTCCTCTCCATGCCCTCCAGTGCCAAAGAACAAGCGGCGCTCCACCTGGGAAGTTTTGCATTTACATTTGGAAGGAAGAGTGAGGGGACAGAGACCACTCCTGCCCTTTTCACTTTGGTCAAATACCAATAGTTGCAGAGCTCGAAGATGCGATATCCCTCTATTTCATCCTCTCCCCTAACTCATGCTCTGTGCTGCACCCCAATCATCCCACTGTGGCCACTCCAGCTGCAATGGATTTCACGTCCTCCTTGAGATCCTTCAGAATTGCATTTCAGTTCATCCCAAACAAAAGAGGAGGCAGATCTGCCTGATCTGCTTCCTATCTTGTTTAGGAACTGGGGAGCATCAGACTGTAAGGAAGCCCTGGATCTGACCCAGCGTTCTGCTACTGCAGCTTGTCACGTCGCATCATGCCTTCCAAGAACTGATCCCATTCCAGGCTGAAAGCACTCTGGGGTTTTTGCCCCCACTAGTCTAATTGGAAAGTTTACCAGGGTGAAGTGCTGGGTAGTTACATATTTCCCTCTTACATTTATTCATGTCCAGTTTAAATCCTTTTGTTTTATAAAGCTTGGCCCTTTTGCTTAAATAGCTGTTCTTCCTGTGTTTTTTATTTATTCCCTCTCTGATGTTCTATGAGAAAAGTTACCCTTCTGTGCTCCCCACAGACATATACCCCAGTCTTCAGCTGCACAAATAAGCAAAACAAATTGTTCAAGTCTTCGCTTGTAAGCTAATTTCTTTCTTTCCTCCTGCCGCCAGTCATTCTCCATGTCTGGAGTTTGAACTCATGGATCTCAAAGTGAACAGCACTGCACAAGGAACAGGTTAGGTTAAGTCTCACTAATGCCTGGTACAGTGACATAAAAACTTCCCTTTTCCAACTGGAAATACTTTGTGGGATGCATCCAAGTAGCACAATCTCTCTAAAATCAACCTGAAATGGACTTCATCAAATCACCATGCGGGGGAAGGCCCCCTCACCAAAACTATTCCCGGTCCCCATGGCCCGTCGCTAGCTGGAGAGGATCCTTTGCCTCCCTGCACAACAAGATCCATTTCCATTTCCCCTGATGGTTAATCTGAGCCATCCTCCTCAGGAAAGCAGCTTTTGGCCTTTGCGTTATTTCGGGGAGGTAGATTGTCGGCTGCGACAGCAGTTTCCTGCGGAAGGCCCTCCTGGGACATCGTCAGTCCCGAGGGCCCGTTTCCCTCAGAGGCTCGATTCACCTTAGCACAGTGTTTCACGCCAGCTACCTTCTGCCTCGGTCAGGAGGCATGTAGATCTCAAAGGGACTCGGAGAAAATCATCTGTGGTTCAGCTGCTGGCTCCCCTCAAGACCCTGAGGAGGGACCGCCTTGGTCTTCCTGCCTGCCCCCATTGAGCGGGATTATAACCCTTGCTTGAGCTTTGTAGCCTGAGATGTGTACCAGCGGGGGAACGAGATCCCCCTGTTCACTATTAAATTTCAGTGCAACATTGCCGGTATGCAGCATTGAGGCAGCGGTGGGCCGGAGCAGTGGGAACCAGGGCCAAGATGGAACCAGCACCGCACCATGTGTGGGAGGGAGCTTTGCCGGCGGCGCCGCCATTGTGCCTCTCACCAAATGCTAACAGCTTTCTGGGGCTCTCTGTCTTTTGCCCTCACAAAAGACAGAGGCGTCACGGTTTTATTTCCCATGGTGTGCGTCAGTCGGCTCGTCAGGGTGGGTCGCCCACCAGGCGCTTTGCTGAGAGTGATGAAGGCATGAGGCCACGGGCTCAGGCTGGGGGAGAGCAGGTAGGGAATAGCTGCTCCTCCTCCTCACTGTCCTCCTGTTACCGGCCCTTCTCCCCACAAAGGCTCCTTTGTAAGGACGGCAAAGGCCTGGAGCAGAAAAGCGGGGAGGGGTTCCCCTCCCTCCCGCTTTTGGAGGTATAACCTACCTCGGCTGTTACGAGATCCCTTTTCTGTCGAGTTGCATTAAAATCATTTCTGGAAGAAAACAAAAAGGATCTTGTATAATCAAAGGTCCCTGGAGCAACCTGAATAAGCAGCTCCCCAGAGAAAAGTGTTTCTCTCTGATTACTATCACTTTATCAAAGAGGTCTTTCTTGGGTTAACATTTAAAAACGTGATTTTTTTTTTCTTTTTTTTCTTTTCGTGGTCTCATTTTACAGAATTGGGCAGCACTCTGATCTCTGCTTGGACAGAGAGGTACCTGGAGCTTGTGGGGGAGACGTAAATAGGCAAAACAGGCTTACATGACAGGATACAAAATTGTAAAGCGGCTTCGTATTTACTTGACTCTGTGTGGGAGTGGCTGCAAGTTCCCCCAAGTGTTATTTGAATATACTGTGATGGTACTTTTAATAGCAAGAGATGACTCTCCAGCTGACTTAAATTTGTTATTAAGTTTAGAAACAAGGGCATCAAACTATAAAACATACTTAGTTTTATCAACAGTCCAAGTTGGCGTATCATCTGACGTGCATGTGTGTTCGCTAGATGTATTAGAGGTCATTAGACATCCGAAGCTACATCCGACTGGATGCTTCCATTGAAATTGATGGCATAGTTCCCATTTAATTCAATGGGATCAGGAACATTCCCTAGTTTGGGTTTTGTTTGGATTTCAGCTTCTACATGAAAACTTGTATTGAAAATGTTTATCTTAATGCTGTATAGCACTTACTTTTCTGTGCTTCAAATAGCAGCTAGGATTTTATCATGTAATTAAAACTGTAGAAGGATACTCATTTAATGTATTTTTCCACTAATCTCATGAAATCATGATCTCATCCTGGTTTCATTCCATTATTCCTCTAAGCTTTCTCAAGACCATAAAAGTATCATTTTTTCATAAGGACCTCGGTTTTTCAAGCAGAGGACCCATGCAAATTCTTTGAAAATTTAGAGTGTTTTACATCCAACGTACATGTACATGACATTTTACATATCAAATTCAAGGCTATATTTTACTTTCTAACTTGCACTGCATCACACTTATTCATTCTTGTGCTGTTTGTAAGACTTGACAAATAAGGAATAAAAACTTACCTTGTAGTTCTTTTCAAAAGAGAAAGCTTGCAATAAGATCCTGTAGATTAAAAAGTCATCAAGTTAAATGTTTCTTCTACAGCCTCACTCTGCACTTGGCAAACAACAGTTTGTCAAGTTTAAAACAACACGATTGGATTTTGTTCTTATGAATGATCCTAAGTTTTCCAGAACATCTTTACACAATCTTTTTCTTTTCCCAAGGGATGTAGCACTACATGCTTTCCTTCGTGAGAGTTTGATTCTCTCAAGTGCTCACCACCTGCGAGTTTCCATGGTCCCAGCTCTGGTACATGCTACCATGAAAAAGAGCAAAGAGTTCATAGTTCTTCAGAGGCTCAGAACAAAACTGATAAAATACAAGAGGTGCTCAGAGCTTTCCAGAATCAAACTTCTAGGGTGGTTACCTGTAATCATTTTCTGAATGTAACTTGTAAAACTCAATTGCAATCCACTTAAAATGCTCTAGAGTCCATGCTTTAAAAAAAACCAAACCAACCAACCAGACCAACCCCCTTCTTTCTCATATCGCCTTAGAATCTTTATAATTGCTGCAAGAAAACTATCTACAAGATCCATTTGCATTACAAAGAAAATAGATCGCTTCTATAACCAGAAGTGCGATTATTTACCCTAGCATTCTAAAAATGCTTAAACAAACTGCAGGTGCAGTCTGATCAAACAAAATCATACCCCGCTGAAAATCATTATATGCTTACTCATCTGCCAAGAATGTCAAGAAAGCTGAGACTTAAATTTTGTTCCTAAATAATGGTTTTGTAACAAATTCAGACATTTTTTTTTTTTTTTTAAAATAAGAGCTATATTTTAGTTTCTACACCTGTGAGAGAGAATAGTGATATATAGTTTTTTAACCTGTGTTAAAAAACTTTTTTATTTATGAATTCCAGCAAGGGTCAAAAAAAATGCTTTATAATGATAGAAAAATAAGGAGCCGTATTATTAAAATATTTAGAAAAATCTTTTTTAAAGTTAGTATTACTACAAAAATGGAATAAAGTTCTTACCTTGCAAAGAGGACAGCAGTGAATGAAGCAAGAATATACTCCACGGTATCATTAAATTGAGCTTTCCCACAACATTCATTTCGGTATAACTTAGTAATAGGAAATTTATCCAAATTAACGGCTTTGATTACGATGGCATCTTAGTATTTCTACAATGTGTTTAAATCCTTTAAAAGTTAGATAGTTGGATGCATTATTTAAAATAATGCAATGCAAAAAAGGAAAAGAAAGCTTGGTAGCTACATACAGCTTCAGGAGCTTTGCAAGCGCTGCATGCAACTTTCTGGCTGCATGTGTCTCATTAGTAATGCATGGTAACTCCTCAGCAGAGTCTGTATTAGTTACACTTTCGCTAGACCTGCGAGTATTACTTCTCTGTTGAATTGAATCGGCCCTTTATAGCATAGCAGACAATGACATAGAAATGTTGCCATGTCATGATGCTTTGAGAGTTCCTTCAGTCGTCACGCACCTTTCTGTGCTGAGTGCTGCCCTTTACTGCTTATTACAGTGAAGTATTTTTGCAAGACCCTGCAATGATGCTACTATATAAATTATAACCAGATGGTTTTAGAGAATAACATATTAATGTTCCTTATCTGTTCTAAAAGGAGAGACGTGAACTTCCATTAAATAATACACCTGGATTTTTAAGAATATTTTAGAAACATTTTTGTGTATAGTTTGCTTATATCACAAAAGAAGGCCTCCTAGAGGATAACTATATTTCATTTTTAATAAAACATGTTATGAAAATTTCATATTAGCAAAAAGGAGGAAGAAGTCAACAGGGCCAATGGGGTTTGTTTCTAATTTTCATTGAAATATAAAAATATAAAACAATTAATATAAAAATTAAAAATGATCATATTTTAAAATAGAAAAATCTTACCTGCTTTACCCTAAGATTAACAGAATCATTAAAAAATGCAGTTTTAAAGACACATATAATACTAATTGAAACTGCTACTACTCATTTTATTTTGCGAAGCCTATCTTTTGCCTAACCTTCCATTCTTCCTAGGATGTGCTTTGTGAGACCCTCTGAGCATGCTACAGAAGGTAGGTTTGGACCAAAATAAAATTCAGAAGTTGATGGCCTCTCTCAGGTAAAAAGTTCTCCCATCATTTTTCTGGCCTTTTCCCCACTCCCCAGCTGGACTAGAAGAGAAGGCAAAGGAAAACACTCAACCTCTCCACCACAGACAAAAACAAAACCCTGTGTCCACACAGCAGCCAACAGTACTCATGCAGGTTCAGGGTCACTGGTGGCCCAAGGATACTTATTGCAAACTGGTATATCTTATAACATGACACTGTGTTTGGAGTATTTCTTAAGAATTATTTTTATTATTGTTGGATCTGAGAAGCTGACATTCACATAATTCGCATTTCAAGAGGTTTTTTGCTTTGTTTTTACTTCTGACTAGCTATGGGCTGGTCCCATGGACTGGCTGCTTATCTGCAGCTGGACTTGCATCTGCCAGCTTAGTTTCATCTGCTCCATGTGGTCCAAAACCACTGCAGACTGCAAACAGAAGCAAAAGAAGTGAGTTCCTGATCCAAATTAACACACTGATGTAGTCATACCCACAGACTGTGAACTATTATGTGGACACCTCTCTTACAGGAGGTGGCAGAGGCCACTCAATATTTCACCTTCTCATAAACCTACTCTTAGAGGACGATGCCTTAAGTTGCTCTCAAGCTGAGATGAACCCAAGCATTAGATGTTCCAAATTCCATGACCAGTCTCCGTGTTATCTAACTTTCAAGGAAGTCTGGTTTAGAAACTGTTTCACACTCTTCTGAGAAATCTGATCTGGCATTTTTCCCTTCCTCAAGACCATATTTCACACCATGCTTCATATGCAGCTTCACAAATAAATCTTTCCATTAATATAAATGAACTCTTTTGGTTTAACAGAAACTATCAAAAATAGCCCCCCCCCTCCCCCC